AAAAAAAAAAAAAAAAAAAAAAAAAAAAAAAAAAAAAAAAAAAAAAAAAAAAGAGCCTAGACTGTACCACAGCGTTTTACCAATAAAGAAAAAAAATTTACCCTGTTCTTTTTAGAAATATTTTGATGCTCCCCCCAACATTCCTACAAGTACCTGCCTCCTGTCTGTGATCTTCCCACACAGGAAATGTTTTAGACTCACGAAATTCCTCTGTTATAAAGCAAGTTTATGAAGTTGGCCTAAGACACAAGAACGACACAAACAGAATTATGGCCAATCTCTCCCCTGGAAAGTTGTTACTCTAACTAGACCCAGCTCAGGGGAATGAGCAATGCCAAGAGGAAAACAGCTAGTTCTACAGGTTTAGTCCTTATTAATTTCATACACATTCCTCTCCAAAAGTGTAGTGCATGAGTAACCTTTCCACTGTCATCCACAACCATCTACTTGTAAACGTGTCCTGTGTTTTATCAAGAACTGCTGTCAGCTTGTCACTGAAGGGTTTTGCAAGACCTCACTATATATGTGCATTATCACTTTTATTGCTGTTATTTCTCTTGAACACCTCACATCCCAGTATTTCTTCTTTGTTCACTCACCTGCATGCCTTTCCCCTCAGACAGGATTAAACATTTGGAATAGTCTGCCAACAATTTTTCAAGTAATTTCCTTCTTAAGTCTTTTTTCTCTCATTCCTCATGAACATTAATCTTAGCATTCTCTTCCATCTAAACTTTGGTTCAGACCCTGTGTTTAAAATCCTTACAGCCAGGAATCTATCTTTGTGAGAGTTAAATAAACAAAATTTCCTTCTGTTGTATTTTAAACTAAAATGTAATATTTACGGGTTGGTATTATTAGTGTAAACATGTTATTCTATATTAACAGCCTTTTTCTATTGAGGATTGAAAGGGTAAGGTATCTGAATCAAATTTCAAATGTCATAGAATTTACAGATCTATAGCTTGAGTACATTTCCAGTGCTTTTATCTATCTGTTCCCTAAACACACACCCCCCCCATTTCAAGTTTTATAACCCTACTTTCTGTGATTTTGCATCTGCCATATACACTGATTCATCACTTCCTTAGAATTTTCTTTCTCCATCTCACCTGATTGGACCTACCCATTTTTTCCATTAACCCACTCTACTTTTTCTTCTTTAAAAGTAAGGACATTTTGAAAGTTAAGCTTTTTTGTTTGTTTGTTTGTTTGTTTGATAAAAATTTCTTTAAACACACTCACCTTTATACATTCTTCAGTTCTATAAGTTAGTATTACCACAGTAGTATGATATCACTATGTGATCAAGCATGTGATACATGATGCTCCCTGCTTCTGCTCAGGCAGTTTGGTAGATGATAAACTAAGACTTGTTTATGGATTAAGGGCAAAGTGACATTTTTGCTGAAATAAAATATCAAAGGTTGAATGCTTCAGCTTCTGTATGTTAATTTCAATGAGAACTGGTCTAAACAGAGATTCAATCTTGCTGATGCTGAACATAATACTCCCACCAGAAGCTTTCAGTTGTTAACTCTGAGAAGCCTTGCTAACTTACCCAAGTCTGACTAAATTTCCAGAAGTTTGCTGTGAGTATATTTTAAACATTAAGAGGGGAAGTTGGAGAATTCATGGTGCTTACATTGTTTAAGAATTAAAGGAACTGAACTTCTGCCTACTAAATATTTATCAAATATGTGAAAGAACCAAGAACACCAAGACAGTAGCACCTTCATTTTTCTGGCCCTGGTATAAAGACACATACATCCTATTTGCTTGCCCTCATGGTGCATTGGGAATTCTTAATTCCTGTTTTAAAACAATTCAATAAAAGATATAACTTGCTACTCACCCTGTTTACTTTTTATCTTTTGTTTCCTGCAAATATTTGCTGTGTCCAGATCAAACCCCAGAAAACATCTTCTGAAGACTGGGAATCTTTCTCAAGTTTTGAAGAGTAGTATGTTTTCCCTCTTTGAAAAATTTGTCTTTTTTCCCTGTCCTGTACCCTACAAACTATGAATTAATTAATACCAACTCTAGTGGGTTCCTCACAGGCTGGAATGTGTTCGGGTCAGCAGTAGACTTCTTCTTAGAAGGATCTGATGTTACATGAAGTAAGGGCTCAGGAAAAAAGAGAATGTGTTTTCTCTTAACACCTGATATTTTTGTAGGTACACCCTGCTAAACTAAAGTAATCCTAACATGGTACACAACATGGAACTGAAGAAAATAGGGTGCTTCATTGCTTTCCTAGGCCTGTGCTCTGGGTACTGACTACATACAGCCTGTGGGACGTGCTTATCCTCACAGTTCTACCATTCTCTTTTCTTTCTTCTGCTAATCAGAAACCTGGCTGTGCCATTTCATTTATTCCTACATTTTTCACCTTGCCTTTAGGTCAGTGCTGGATGCTTAATAAACTCTTTAAAAAAAAAAAAAAAAAAAAAAAAAAGGCACAAAGGAAAGAGTAACATCAGGCTCAGAACTAGTTTTAACTTCCCAGGTGCAGTTATCCTGGCTGCTTTCCAAACTAAGTCAGTAAATGCTTCAGAACTCATTGCATAAATGTGACTATAAATGGGAAATGTACCCCTTCTAGCCATAATTAATTTTAATAACATTTTGCATAGCAGAGAGTCTCAAAATACTTTCTTGTCCTAATCTCACAACCAAAAAAACTGAGTCATCAGAAGGTTAAACCTGCCATTAGACCAGTCAGTCAGCTGGCCTGGAAATAATTTTTGACTTCCACTCCAGTCCTTTGATCGCAGGCTTTCTTCAGTGCTTAAAAGAATGCCATCTCTGTTGATTATCCAGCATGTAGTATTTGTGTCAAGATGAATCACATCTCTGTACACACAGTGTTAAACCATAATTCAATTCTTTTGTTTATTAAATTGATTTTAAAAGTGCCTGGTGCCCTAGCATCCATATTGATTTACCAGAAACA